CCCCCCCCCCCCCCCCCACCACACTTTTTTGTCAACATACTTAGAAAGCACTCAATATAGATCTTGAGAAAGTGCACCCCGGGATTGCAGGGTTGTAAGATTGCATTGCTTTCTTTTACCCTACATTAGCAGGTTACTAATACCCTACCTGGGATTCCGACCTCCATGTAAACAGACCCTTTAAAATCATAGGCGTATCGATGGGGCCACATATTTTTCACCATTTGTTCTGGGTTTTTAATTGATAAGTGCGTTAATAATGCATCAGACAATTTCAGCTGAGCCCATCCTCCGACCTCTCAGGCTAACGTCCAGTCTTACGCTAAACCTCATAATGGCCAATTTGCCAATGGGCTATTGCATTCAAATACACTCCTTCCCCTCCCCCTCCAGGTTGAGGAGCAATGAAATTCCTCAGGGTTAGTTAAGGAATTCTCCAGGGATAGAGGAAGGAGGTCTTTAGGTGTGATTAAAATAGTCACACTATTTTTGTAAAAAAAATGCCTTTTCAAGAAATTCGTCATGGTTAGGCCCATTGATAAAGCTTTTAATAAGGAAGTCTTCATGGGTGAATGCAATGTTATAGACCTCCTTAGCTTGTATGTTTTGTTTTCCCAATGGAGGTCCCAGGGGAACTTGGCCCTTTTTCTCTTCATAAATTATGCATAGATAATTTATGCAGGTGAATAAATTGTAATTTGAAAGAAACAATTCTCTAGAGTATTATCACATGACTTGTATTGGAAAACAAAACATACTAGATTAAAAGAGGTCTATTGAATTCTTCAGAGGTAAAAAGAAAAGGTAAGTCCTCAACAGGGCAGGGGGGGGGGGAGGTTGCAGATATTAAAATTTAATGCAGTAACCAAACAATATTAAAATTATACCCTCCAGACTTTTTAAGTTAGTTGCCAGATTTTGAATTGGTGACTTGAGAGGGTGGTATGGGGTGGCAGCTGGGAGTTAGGATGGAATGGCAGTTTGGGATAGGGTTAAATGGCCTGGGTGATTGATAAATTTAGTTAATAAAACGTGGATTATATCTTTTTTAAACAGGGAAAAGAACTCTTAAACTTGCTACTAATTGCAATATTTTAAATTTCAGAAAGACCACACAGTCAGGCAACAGAAATAAAGTAAGTAGAGGAATACTGAATTTTTCATAGAGGTGGGCTACAACAGCAAAAGTAACTGGCCATAGAGGCTTTTTTTATGCATTTGAGAGTTTGCTTTAATTGGGCAAAGTAATCTCTATATCTTTGACACCCATTTTTTTTAATTGTGGGGACATTTTTATAGTAAATTTATGTCTGTGTCTGTTATAGTAGCCTTTTTTCCAGTTATTTGTTTTGTTGCAGCTTTCACTAAGGCAGTCACAAGTCTTTCAACTAGATCCCTTGAGAGGAAAAGATGCCTCTGAGATCTTTGACAGTGGCAGACAACAAGCTATCTCCGGTGCAATTCTTCGGGGCATTACTGACATTCTTAATGGTCCTGAACTGGATTCCAGCCTGAGGGATTGGCAACTAGAGATAACACGGGTAAGTTAATTGACATACATACCCAATTTGTTTCCAGGAAGAAAGACTCAGTCAAGCAAGACAAAAAGAGGAAATATTCTTTTTAATGTCTTGCTAGAAACAAAGTAGACCTTTCCCGTACACCTTTGAATAATAAGCAACAACATGAGGCTCCAGTTGACAATACAAAGTACATCGTTTTGTATGAAAGTGCCCACCCAGTCCTTGACCTTATTAAGTACGGTATGTGTTCCCACTGAACTGGAATTCAGGGACTACTTTGGTCTACAACATTAAAAATTGTCAAACATTTACAATTCTCACTGTCAAACAAGTGCATGAGGCTGCTTTCTGCAATACAGTTGGTTTTTAAGGCAAACATTTCTCTGCAAGATGGTATACAATAAAAATATTTTTAGTTGCTGCCTAGATTTTGAAAGCACAAAAAAAACTGAAAAGAGAAGAAAGTGTGATCAATAGGAAAGGCACAAGGCAAAAGGACAAAGTGGGGGACGGGTAGCGCTAGCCTGC